TTCCCGCCGCCATGGACGCCCCCGCGCCTACCCCCGCCCCCGCCCCTCCCGCCGCCGCGGTGCCGGCCGAGGCCGCCGCGAGGGCTCCTGCCCCCGCTCCTGCGCCGCCGCAGCCTGCCGCGGCGGCCCCGCCGGCGGGGAGGCAGCTGTTCTCCGTGGAGCTCCGGCCCGGGGAGACCACCATTGTGTCGTGGAAGAAGCTTCTCAAGGATGCCGGCCCGGGAGCCGCCCCGCCGCCCTCCCTGCCCGCCGCGGCGGTGCAGCCGGTCGTTGCCCCCCTCGCGGGGCCCTCTGGTGCTGCGGTAGGTCTTCGTGCCCCCCCTTCTATGTGTTCTCCTCCTCGCTGTATGCATACACCTAACCTATGTGGTCGCCGATCAAGCCTGCGAACCGAGGGATTTCGAGTGGGATGGGTGGATAAATTGGGATTTTATTAGTGCATAATATGTTGGAGACTAGCTAGATACAACTGTTAGTGCATTTGTGGGCTCATCAGTGGAGTAATGTGGTCTATGTAGAGCGAGCATAGAAGTAGTTTGCAGAAGAGACATTTAGTGCAGACAGCAAAAGTTAGGAGATGTAAAATAAAGACAAGGCATACATCAGGTGTTGTCGTGGACGGTGGAACCCTTTGCGAGGAGGTAGGATTGTGCCCGCTTAGCTTATCCTCCAGGGCATCGAAACATATACACACTTCCACCAACAGTGCAGCAAAAACCTGAAGAAGATTCAACAAAACTCTTCAGGGTAACTGATGAGGTGGCTACTGTAAAATGAAATTGCTTACTTTTGATATGCACTATACAAGACACAGGCTGATTTCTAATTAAAATTTGCTGTTGGTAGTTCACAGTATATGGAAAATGTTGATGTGTTATCTATCATCCTTGTCGTTCACATTGGCAGCTGCTGCACTTACCCGTTCTTTGGATTAATCAGCTTATCTTGTGTTTGTTTTCACATGTGATCGATATATTAATTATTATTTTTGTTGTTGCAAACAGTTGGATTATTGTTGTATTTCATATTGAGGCTATCTCATCTTTTTTTGAGTCAGGTACATCCAACAGAAAACGACCCAAATGATCCATCACAGTCAAATCGGTTCAATGCAGTTATTGAGAAAATCGAGCGCCTTTACATGGTAAGGCACATGTTGTTATCTCAAGAGAGGAGGACATGTATTTTTTTACTTAATACACCATGTGCATAACGTCTTTGCCCCATGTCCTCGTACTGCACTTTGGCAGGGCAAACATAGTAGCGACGAAGAAGATTTGGGTGATGTGCCTGATGATGATCAGTATGACACCGAAGATTCTTTCATTGATGACGCTGAATTGGTTAGTTTTTTCATTGCTTCAGAGTCTTTCTTACCTGGATGCTAGGAATTACCTGGATGATGCTGAATTGGTTATTAAACATAAAGACTATATAGAACCTTAGGGTAAGCTCCGGCGTTGGGTTTTTACGGTTTGTTCGGTCCGGTCTCTTCGGTCTTCCAGAAATTTGGTCTTCCCAAACTGATGACCGAAATTACTTCGTCTTTTCTCTATTCGGTCTTCGGTCTATACCATCTAGAATTCGGTCCTGACCAAATAGACCGAATTTGTAAATTGATCCATTGATTAAACTCTTCAGCATACACATAGAAATAGGACGGGAGAACGGGCGTGCTTATATTGCAAGATGGGCGGCGGATGCGGGATGCGGCGAGTAGCAGCAGATGTTGGAGGATGGGAGGTGGAGCAGCGGACATTGGAGAAGATCCGGCGACCAGGCATGGAGGTGGAGTACCAGATGTTGGAGGACGAGAGTGGCGACCGGGGGTGGAGGTGGAGCACTGGACAGAGGTGGAAATAGGAGGACCGAGGATGGGAGGTGGCTCGGTGAGTGGCGGCGGCGCGATGCATGGGGGTCAACAATGCTGGCTAGCATCTAGGTTTGGGAGTTAGGAGAGAGGAGGAGATGAGATGGGGCCGGCCAGTCATGGACTCGAGCCAGGACGCAAGGCAAGTGGGTTACTTGGCCTCGAGGCCGTAATGAATGGGCTTGATAGGTAATGGGCTGGCGGCTGGTGTGGAGGACCTAGTAGTTCGGTCACTTCGGGTTATTCAGTTAGCACAACAACACGACCGATTCAACCGAAGCTACTTCGGTCTTCTTATTCTGACAGACCGAATTTAATTTGGTCTTTTGTTGTTCGGTATTTACGGCTTCGGCTTCGGTCTTTCGGTCTTCGGTTTTTGTGCCTGGGCTGACCTTAGGGATAAGCATTTCACCTGACCTTTTTAACCAGTATTGAGAATGATGCGTTCATTTCTATTCTTTCTTTCTTACTGCAAGAACAGTCAAATCCTAGTGTACATAGAGTACAATAGTATACTGCCAGGAAGGATTTTGCTAAAAACTTATTCAGCGGTGCATGACAATAGCTCAAAGTTTTGTTAGAATACACTGATGTCAGTTTCTGTGCGGACAAAATGATACATTACATGTTTCCTGCTCCAATGTTAGACAGCGAGTTCAATTTTATTGCTGTATGGTCAGAATTTTTGAAGATGTCGGGCTAATAGCAGCCATTGTGATTGCTTATTACTTGCATTTGTAGGACGAGTACTTTGAAGTTGACAATTTGGAAACCAAGCACACTGGATTTTTTGTGAACAAAGGGAAATTGGAACAAAGGTAATTTTTCTGATACTTATTTGATTTGCAACTATTGAGCTGCACAATTTATGGTCTTACCTGTGCTAATTCTTCATAGCTGTATCATGGTGGGTGATATAATAACTACTAAGCAACAACTCGAGCTTACTGCATACATGCTTTATACATGTGCCGTTATAGGGCATAAATAATGACATTACTTCAGCTTTGTTTTGCAGTGAGTATGGCTCAGTACAAAATGTTGTACCAGATGGCACAGTACAAAATGTTGGACCGAAGAAACGGAGAAGAAGAGACTCTTCAAATTCTTACATCGAAAATAGCAAGGAGCTTGCAACAGGCAGCATGCCTGTAAAAGCCCCTAAAAGAAATGCTCTTGAAATAGGGAAAAACATAGCAAGTAGCGACTTAAGTTCTTACAGCGAATATCACTCTGAAGGCAACAAACCGTTGACGAATAAAAGTAATTCCCCTGGAAGAATGCAGAAAGTGAATGCCAGTGACAATGCAACTGGTGCTGAGTACGCATCACTTCCGAAGATATCAAGTAAGGGTGTTTCATTACCTTCTTCAGAAATAAAGGACTTGAACAAGCATAAAACTGCAGTGCCGCAGGCTGTTGATTTTGCTCGTAAGTCTACAACTAATGCAACAAACCCTTATCCAGCATACTTGAAGGATGCTGCAGTGCAACTTGATCTCCAATTGAAAAAATCCTCTAATGTAGCGAAGCCAGATTTGCCAAAGAAAATGCGTTCTAAAGAAAAATATGGTGTCAATCAGTTTCCTGGCTTGACTACAGCAGACAACGTATATTCGACACAAACAACGGTAAGAATCAGATGAAGTTGTACTGTGAGTATGGTGTGATTCAGTTATCTGTATGCACTAGTTTTGTTTTATGA